CTGTATTAAATAATATTTTTTAGGCTCGAAGCATTGAATGTGAAGTTCTAAAAAAAGATAAGCAAATCAAGATATTAGAAAACAAGGTACTATCAAATTGCAAAAAATATTTGCGAATAGAGACTTTGTAACAATATACACGTGACTGGATTCTTTAGGGAGAGCCTTTATTTTGTCCTGTACAAAGAAATCTCAATTCTTTTTTGGAAGTTTTCAGGGATAATCTGCAATAGGGTTTGTATTGCAGGTTTCCTTGAAGAGGCTCTGGATTCATGGGTTTTATTAATACATAGTGCCTCAAAGAGCAAAGTTTCATCAAACTCCTCTTACGTTTATGAGTGGTAAGATACTTTTAGAAATCATCCTTAGACATCTCTCCCATTGCTATGATCAAGAGAACTGCAGAAAAATTTTTGCTCTGTAAGGGAAGTGTTTTTATTGCCTGGCTGCCCATCCCAATTCACTTCTTTCTTCGGTGTACCTTCTTTATGCCTCACCACATACTTGTCCTAAACTTGACCTTCCCTACACTAAACAGTCTTCTGGAAAGAGTAGTTCACTTTCTGAAATTCCGACATCTGATAATCCACATCATTTTCTTCTACTTGAGAATTCTGGTAAATAAAAATCTTCATTTCTGTACCCATGAATTTTGCTTAAATATTAACTGTAATAGTTGAAAACATTTTCAAAAATTTGTATACATTCTAAAATATATTTTACATGCCTTTAAATATTTAAAAGGAAAGAACTGTTTTTATAAAGACCATATAATCTTAAGTAGCTGCAGGTGTGAAGATTATTTAAATTTAAAAGGGCTGAAAACTGAACTTACTTTAATTCTCATTAGCTTATACAGAAAGAAGGGAGAGTGGGATCGTCGGGTTGAGTTGGGCAGTCAAAACAGCATCCACAGTTGGTAGCTCTCATATCATTATGATTTTAGTATAAATACTCACTTCTTTTGGAATGTGTAGTGTAATGCCAATTATAAAGATGGATTTTTAGGAAAAGCTGAGCAGGTGAGAACTATGGGCATCAACGTTAACTCTGATGGGAGTAGGTTTTGATGGCCTGAAGAATGAAGGACTAAAGAAATACATGCAACATGTGCTTCATCCAGAAAAGTCATAATGTGATGGTGCTTTAAACTGATATTCTTTAAATTTTTCCAGCGTTTATTTGGTGAGGCCAAGAAGTAACTAATTTTCCTGTCTATTGAGTTTTGAAGTTCAGTTAAATTTTTTATTGCTAGAAGTTCTAATTTGTTCTTTTAAAAATCTGCTCAATGTCTTTTATGGTCTCCTGTTTCTTGTTCATAGTTTC